AGTTCCAGGGGGTGGGGAGGCCCTGGGAGGGGCAGTGGATGCTGCTGGGCAGAGACAGCAGGCTTGAGGGTGCAGCCTCCTGGCTTTGCAGATGGTCACCCACCTTCTCTGCCCACTTAGATGCTGTCTTTACCACATGCGGTAACATTCTGGTCTCTCCTGCTCTATCCACTCATCTCTGTGCCAAGCTGTCCTCACCAAAGGCTCTCTTCAGTATGCTCTCAGAGCTGGTAAAGCCGGCGCCTCCCCATCCACACTGACCCATCACTTCGCCTCTCCAGAACTGTCCTGGTTTGCCTTAGATTATGGTGTATGTTTTTCCATTTGAATTTTAGAATTAGCCTGTCTATTCCCAAGTCACTCTCATGTTTTATTGGGACAAATGCATACACCAAGCATAGCTCTCCGTTCCCCACATCTGCCCAGGGGCCACGGCTCCCCCTCTGTGGAGCCTCTTTTCCCTCCTGTGGTCACCTCGCACATGGCTGATCGGATGCATTCCTCCGTGCTTGTTGCCGGGTGGGGAGTAGGCTGCTCCTCTCTTCCCAGAAGTGGAGGTAGAGTGCAGAAAAGGGGCACAGCATTAGCCTCCGTCCATGCTGTGAGCTTTGGCAAGAGAAGTCAGACCCCGAGAGTCAGGCACCTCCCTACTGCACTGTCTTATCACCAGGCTGAGGGGTGGGGGAAGCCACGGGAAGGCACCTCCCACCCCCTGGAAGCCTGCGCTGGCTTGAGCACCCTCTCTAAGCCCAGGGCCCAACGTCTGGTCAGGTGGGCCTGCAGGACCGGGGCCTTCTCTGCCCGCCCCCACCAGGACCTCAGGATCAAGGGCCTGGACTTCCGCTGGGGGAGCCCCTGGGGATCTCAGGCCAGACCCCACAGCCCTGCCCGGCCCCCAGAGGCAGCTCTCTATGCCGCCTGCACTCAGTGAGGTGTGGTATTTTAAGTGTTTTGACGTTTAAAATCTGTGTTGGATATGTTTGTTCTGTTTAAATTACACCTGGCTGCGGTGACTCACAGGGAATTGGTACATCCTCTGGGCCCAGGCCCAGCATCCCCCTGCACCTCCATCCAGCTTCCTGCCTGGCTGGGAGCCCTAGAAGCCTTCCTAGAGCTGCCCCTCGGCCCACCTTACTGTCCTGTGGAAAGTGGACTCTCCAAACAGAAAGCAGCAAAACAGAGGGAGGGGACTGCCTCCAGTGTCCAGACCTGCACCCTAACTCGGGAGATGCAGGACTGCAGGTGCCTGGCAGGTGAACAAACAGTGGTGGCTGCTGGGGCCACCAGTGTGGAAAAGACCATCCTTGCAAGGGACTGGGCAGCCCTCTCTGGCGTGTTTGTTCTCTGGTTTAGGGAAACCTGTGCAAATGGAACTGGAGACAAGCTGAGGCCCGGGTGGGGTCTGGGCAGGACCTTTGGAGGCCGCTACCAGTGCCCTGAAGAGAGCAGGACAGACTCTGCCAACACTTGGAATCTCTGGCTCTTCTTGGTGGCTGCCTGGGGTTTTGTGGCCATTGTCCACATTTGCAGGACAGAGCTGTGGTTGTCCTCACCCTGGTGTCATATTGTTGAGGAGGCTCTGCTCTCAGGGCTTCAGGCAAACCCAGGTGAGGAGGCGGCAGGAGGGGAACCCCAAGTGCAGACACCCTGGGACTCCCCAGGCCACGGCCAATGCAGGCAGTCTCTCCAGGCACAGCCGAAAGCCTCCTGGAATCTGAGTGCCTCCTCACTCATCCCCGCTTATCCGCGGCCCATCGCTGCTCAGCCATCCACTCTTCCAGTTGTGAGTAGCAGCACCAGCCCCAGGGGGAGACCCAGCCGCCCCCCATTCCAGAAGGCTGAGCAGGTGGCTGCTGCAAAGGCCACTCTCAGCCTGGTGCCATCGAAGGGCCTGGTCAAGTCCAGGTCCAGCTACTTCTGAGCTGGCAACCTTGGCAAGCCCCTCGGCCTCTTTGAGACTCGGTTTCCCCAGATGCAGAGTGACGTGGAGGTGAGAGGTGCTGATAAGAAGCACTTTTCAATACGCTGGGGGGACTGGGGAAGGGTTTGTGTCTAGACGCAAACTGACCACAGACGGCGAAGCTTGCAGGGCTTGGCCAGCCTGGACGGAGGTTGGGTGGGGCAGCCCAGCGCTCGGGCAGTAACCATGGACGCTCTGCATCCAGACCCGGGAACACAGGGCCTGTCCCTCTGCCACAGCCAGGTCACCCCAGAGTTTGCCTCCATGCTGCTGAGGTGCCGGAGAGGCTGCAAACCTTCTCCAAGGCAGGAGCTGGGAGCAGGCAGCCTCAAGTCTGGGGATGGGGGCCTGTGTCTGCCAGTCACCCTGGTAGAACAAGTGTCCCCCACATTCTGAGCCCTTGACCCCCAGCGGGCAGGTCTGATAGGCTGTCTCCTCCTTCCCTTCGCAGATCAACACCTTCATGTCTTTCGTGTTCCCCATGGTGGTCATCTCCATCCTCAACACCGTCATTGCCAACCAGCTGACGGTGATGGTCCACCAGGCAGCTGAGCAGGGCCAGGCGCGCACGGCTGGGGACAAGCACAGCTCGTTCAGCATGTCCATCGAGCCGGGCCGGATCCAGGCCCTGCGCCACGGAGTCCGGGTTTTACGTATGTAACCACTGGGCCCCTGAGGGGTATGGGTGGCCAGGGGCCAGCTGTGGGTACCACACCCCCACATGGGGCAAAGTTGAAAGACCTATAGGGTAGAGCATGTCAGGACCGAGACTCAGAGTGCTCCCTCCACCGGGTCTGTGCTGCTCTTTGCCGCATCCATCCACGCAGCCATTCGCTCGCTCGCCCGCCCGCCCATTCAGCCAGCCAGCCTCACACTCATCACTCACTCACTCACTCATTTGTTCACACACCCACTCAACAAGCCTCCCCAGTGCTGACTCTGGTCAGACAGCTCACTCCTAGAGCCAAGCCCCGGCAGCAGAATCAGGGGTCCCCTCTACCTTCCAGCGGACCACAGGCTGCACCAGAGGAAGCAAACACACACATCACACGTGTTCAGACAGCGATGAGCATGAAGAAGAAAAAGCCATGACCCGGCAGCCAGGAGGGGCTCTCTAAGGAAGTGACGTCCCCCTGAGACCAGCAGGGCCAGGAGCTAATCTTGGCAACAGAGCTGCAGTCTGAGGGCACAGCCGTGCAAAGGCCCTGGGGTGGGGGGACCTGGTGGGAAAGCTGGCTGGTGCTGAATCATGGACTTATCCTTTGTGGCTGGATTATGTCACTGAGAATAAGGTCCTCAAGGTCCATCCATGGAGCATGTGTCACCAGTGGAATTGCTGGAGGTCACTCTATTTTTAATTTTTGGAAGACTGATCATACTGTTTGCCATAGTGGCTGTACCAATTTACACTCCCACCAACGGTAGGTAGGGTTTTCAATTTCTCCACATCCTAGCCAAAAATTATTTTCCTGGGGGTTTTTTTTTGGGGGGGTGGTAGCAGCCATTCTAATGGGTGTGAGGTGGCATCTCATTGTGGTTTGATTTTCATTTTCCTGATGATTGGTGATGCTGAGCATCTTTTCATGTGCTTATTGACCATTTGCATGTCATCTTTGGTAAAATGTCTATTCAAGTTCTGTGTTGCTCACTTATATATATATTTTTAATCCTCACCTGAGGATATGTTTTTTATTGATTTTTTTAGAGAGAAAGGAAGGGAGAAGGAGAGAGAGAGAAGCATCGACTGGTTGCCTCCCACACCCCCCTGGGGATCGACCCCTAGCCTGGGCGTGTGTCCTGACCAGGAATTGAACCCGCAACCCTGCTGTGCGCAGGATGGAGCTCGACTCATCGAGCCACCTGACTAGAGCTGTTGCCCTTTTTGAAGTGGGTTTTATGTTGCTTTGTTGTTGAGTTTTAGAAGTTCTGTATATTAACCCCTTAGCAGATATGTGATTTGCAAATATGTTCTCCCATTTCTGTTCTCATCTTTTCACTCTGGACTGTGTCCCTTGACACAGTTTTGAATTTTGAAGTACAAATCATCCACTTTTTCTTCTCTTGCCCGGGCCTTTGGTGGCACATCCAAGAAGTCACTGCCCAGTCGTGTCATGAAGTCTGTGCCCTTGTTTTCTTCTGAGAGTTTTATACTCTTTGCTCTTACATTTAGGTCCTGGATCCATTTCCAGTTAACTTTTGTGTATTTTGTATACTTTTGTGTAATTTTTGTGTGAGGTAGGGTCAACTCTACCGCTTTGGGTGTGGATGTCCAGTTTTCCCAGCACCATTTGTTACAAAAACTTTCCTTTCCCCTTGAACGGTCTTGACACTGGTCGCAATCACTTGGGCACGTATGGGAAAGTTTACTTCTGGGCTCTGCTCTCTGCCGTCGGTCTGCCTGTCCGTTTCTGTCGGGACCACTTGGTTTTGCTCACTCTAGCTTCGTGGTAGGTTTTGAAGCCGGGAAGTTGGGTCCTCCAGCTTTGTTCTTTCTCAGGACTGTCCTGGCTATTCGAGTCCTTTGCGATTCCATAGGAATTTTAGGATGAATTTTTCTGTTTCTACAAGAAATGCCGCTGGGGTTTTGATAGCGATCGCACTGAACCTGGCACCACTTTGGGTGGAATTGACGTCTTCACAGAGTTAAGTCTTCGGGCCCATGAACACGGCACGTCTGAGGCCTGTGTGTGTCTCTGCCCCAGGCGCTGTGGTCATCGCCTTCGTGGTCTGCTGGCTGCCCTACCATGTGCGGCGCCTCATGTTCTGCTACATTTCAGATGAGCAGTGGACCACGTGAGTACCAGGAGGCAGGGCGGGGAGTGTGCCCCCCAAACAGGTGGGGAGCAGAGCCCTGAGAGGAGCAGCTCAGGGCAGGGGTGTGGGTCAGGTGTCCCCCAGTGGGCTCTTGAGTGCAGCTGTGACCAGGACGTGGGAGGACAGGAGGCCGTGGAGGGGCAGACGCTGAAAAGCTGCTCAGTGGAGGGACAGGTGGCGGCAGGAAAGGAAAGCGGGTCCTAGGAGAGTCCATGTTGAGACCGGGTTGGAGACGTCCGTAGAGCTGCAAGGAAGGGCTGGCACCACTGGGTGTGGATGTGGGAGGAGAGGTGGCAGCTGGTGGGAGGACAGAGTGGGAGGATGCCAGGGACTGAGAGAGAGACACGTCCATGCTGTGACACTTCACAGCGGGCCTCTCTGAGGCAGCCTCAGGCCCTGTGAGCTCCTTTCTGCACACAGGTCTGCCAGGTCCAGGGGCCCCCGGTTCTTCAAAGTGAAGGGAACTGTCAGGAGGACAAATCTAGGGCAGATAAGAAGTTACAGGGAAGCCCAAGTGAAGAGTTGCTGAAACTCAGGGGTGCCTGGTGGCGAAGCAAGCAGTCTGGTGCGGGAGTGAGATCCCTGCGGGTGGAGGCGAACGGGCCAGTGGTGAGGGGCATAGCTACCCAGAAGATCTGGAGGATGGTCCCTGTCTCGGCTGTTCGGCAGGCCAGGACCCACTGAGCCTTGCCGCCCTGGGGCCTGGGATTCTGCACACGGAGGGGCAGGCAGGGTTGCTGCAGGGAGAGGTGAGAACTGGGACAAAATGAAACCACACCCTGCTTGTAACTCAGCTTGGCTGATAGGTGCCAGGCGAGGCTGCAGTCAGAAATTCCAACTTCTCAGACTCCCAAACCTGGAATTTATTATGAAATGTCCTTAGATCAAAAAATTATGTCTTTTTTAAATTGTCCCAAGCCACCACATCCGCTGGGGGGTGGGCCATGAGTTGTCACTACACACAGTCTGAGCATCCCCTCCCACCCCAGGTTCCTCTACGATTTCTATCACTACTTCTACATGCTGACCAACGCCCTCTTCTATGTCAGCTCCACCGTCAACCCCATTCTGTACAACCTCGTCTCTGCCAACTTCCGCCAGGCCTTTCTGGCCACCCTGGCCTGCCTCTGTCCCCTGTGGACACACAGAGGGAAGAGACCTGCCTTCCCCAGAAAGACCAACAGCGTGTCCAGCAACCATACCTGCTCCAGCAACGGCACCAGGGAAACAGTGTACTAGGGCTGGGGAGGGCTGTGAGGGCAATGCCAGGGAGGAGCCAGGGAGGGGCCTGGAGGGGCCTGGAGGGGCCTGGGAGGGGCCTGGAAGGGGCCTGGAGGGGCCTGGAGGAGCCTGGAAGGGCCTGGAAGGGGCCTGGAGGAGCCTGGAAGAGCCTGGAGGGGCCTGGAAGGGGCCTGGAAGGGGCCTGGAGGAGCCTGGA